AAATTACCAGTTCCACCCTTCTGAGACAGATTTTTTGTTTTATCCAGAGGAAGCTAGACAGGATTACAAATTCAGGCCTACTATTGAATTTTGTCCCTGCCCTCTAGTTATTTGCTCTGGAACTGTGCATGAGACACCCCACTTGAGCAAATTTCTCAAGGTATCTTTCCTTTGGAATCTCTTCCTGACTGCCATGGCAGCTGGTTTCTCACTTATTTCTTGTTTTGTTCCCTGTACTGTCTAAGCAGAAATCTTCTATGTTAGAAAAGAACTGAAATCACCGTCATGTATCCCATTAAAATAATAAGCCATTTATATTCTGCTCCACTTTCAATCCAGTTTCCTGCTAATGCACTTGTGAAAGTAGTAGACGAAGGCCCAAGTGAATGGAATCCTGACCCTGCGTGGGAGACCTGGATGAAACTTGTTTTCTGGCTTTGGCCTGGCACAGCCCTAGCCACTGTGGCCATCTGGGGAGTGAACCAGTGGATGGAAGATAGTTTTCTGGAAACTCTCTAACAATGCGTCTCAAAAAACTTTTATTTATTTTTATTGCAAAGTCAGATATACAGAGAGGAAGGTCTTCCGTCCGATGATTCACTCCCCAAGTGGCCACAACAGCCAGTGCTGCACTAATCCAAAGCCAGGGGCCAGGAACCTCCTCCAGGTCTCCCATGTGGGTGCAGGGTGCCAAAGGCCCTGGGCCGTCCTCCACTGCTTTCCCAGGCCACAAGCAGGGAGCTGGATGGGAAGTGGAGCTACCAGGATTAGAATCGACGTCCATGGGGGATCCCAGCGTGTTCAATGTGAGGACTTTAGACTAGGCCACGGCGCTGGGTCCAAATAAAATAAACTATAATTTGCTCTTTGGTAGTACTCTAGGGTTTACAATACGTATTTTAACATAATGGGTTAAATGAAATAACAGATGTACTATTTTGATTTTGCAATACCCACATCATTTAGTAATTTAAAAACAGTTTGGATATGTTTAATGTGTCATCACTGTTTTGTTCTGAAACAGAATTTAAAGATTCCTGATTTTTTACCACATCAGTAATTAACTTATATGGGAGTGTCTTGTCATTTTATTTTAAGCTACAGTAGAAACTAAACCACCAGAAGAATACTTTTGAATGTACCCTTTATATTAATCTTTCTAAACAAATACTTAGATGAGATTCTACAACACTTCTCAAAGAAGTTTAAAAAGAGTTAAATGAGGCCCAGAACAGCAGCAGCCTAGCAGTTAAAAGTTCTCACCTAGAATGCACTGGGATCCCATATGGGCGCCGGTTCTAATTCCGACAGCTCCACTTCCCATCCAGCTCCCTGCTTGTGGCCTGGGAAAGCAGTTGAGGATGGCCCAAAGCCTTGGGACCCTGCACCCATGTGAGAGACCTACAGGAAGTTCCTGGCTCCTGGCTTGGGATCAGCGCAGCACTGGCCATTGTGGCCACTTGGGGAGTGAATCATCGGATGGAAAATCTTCCTCTCTGTACATGTGCCTTTCCAATAAAAATTAAAAAATAAGAAAAAGACAAATGAAAGCTATCTTGAAAAGCTAAAGGAATTTGGCTAAGTACTGTTTGCAAAACACATTAAGTAAATGCATTGCTATGGGGTGCAGCTAGATAGCCAGCAACCTTTAACAGGGAGTAAATGGAATGTGGCTGTGTCTCCCACACTCTTCACAGCTGGGTGAGTCAGGGAAGATGTTAATGTTCTTTAGATTTCTAATTATGTACTCTCAAAAGAGTTCCTGAAGGTGGGGCCTAACTGCAAGGGAATGTTAATTTCATCCTTAGGGAGAAGCCCTCAGTGTCTCCTGCCTCTCCCTTCCTGTCTCCAGTTACTGAAGTTAATCAGTAGAATTGCATTGTACTGTGCACCTTTCAAACTTTGAGGGTGAAACCTTAAAAACCTCTGACTTCTGTCATATGGTACAGTGGTTCCTGGAGTGTAGCAGGAGCTGCTGCTGCCAAGCTTGGGCAAATAAAAGACTCCTCCTAACATCCTACACTTGGGTCCAGTGTGATCTCTCTCCCACTCAGCAACAGCATCCCACTCCTGTCCCTTTACTACCAGGATTTAAAAAAAAAAAAGATTATCTTTTTTGGGGGGAGAGGGAAAGATTTATCTATTTTTATTACAAAGTCAGATATACAGAGAGGAGGAAACACAGAGAGGAAGATCAGACTGGCCGGAGCTGAGCCAGTCTGAAGCCAGGAGCCAGGAGCCTCTTCCTCGTCTCCCACATGGGTGCAGTGTCCCAATGCTTTGGGCCACCTTTGACTGCTCTCCCAGGCCACAAGCAGGGAGTTGGATGGGCAGTGGAACTGCCGGGATTAGAACCGATGCCCATACAGGATCCTGGTGCAAAAAAGCGAGTACTTATGCTACTGCGCCAGGACTTTTTTTTGTTGTTGTTGTTAAGATTCACTTTGAAAAGAAAGAGAACAGAGATAAAGTTTCCATCCACTGATTCACTCTCCAAATATCCACAACCTTCAGAGCCTGGATGGGTCAAAGCCAGGTGCCAGGAGCTTCTTCCGGTCTCTCCTGTGGGTGCAGGGACTCAAGCACTTTCACTGTTTTCTGCTACTTTCCCAGGACATCAACAGCGAGTTGGATCAAAAGTGGAGCAGCAGGAACCCATTTGGATGCTAGTCACATATGTGATACTGGTGTTGCAGGTAAAGGATTAGGGAGCTGAGACAAGGTGGTTTAGAGTGGGAAAACCGCAGAGCATCCGTCCATCCATGGGCTGGATTGAGTAACATCGCCCTCTGCCTGCCAGCACATGCAAAAGCTGGGCTGAGAGGCATTCCTGGCTGGGCTAGGCCACTGAGCCTAACTGCATGTTGGGGTAGAAGGTAGGCCATTGAAACTGAATCTCAGCACCCACTGGAATCGCAAAGCTAGATCTGAGGGCAGATTCTATAGGGGGCTTGTGGGCTCACCTCTCTGAAACTATACTATGGGACTATGCTGGTTGAGAGCTGGGGTGGGTAATGGGCTGAGCCAGGCTGGACTGCAGAACTCTCCAGCACTTGCATGAGCTGGTGGGGAAGATGAAACTGGGTCAGGCTGCAGCATCCCTGACATGCAAAGGCCTGAGGGATGCCATACCAAGCAGAGTAGTGACACCTGCAGGCACATGTGAGATTCACGGCTAAGAGTGGACATGTAGAAAAGGGACTGGTAGGGGAAACTGGGAACTCCCCTGCTAGGCCACAGCTTTTGCAGCACTCGTTAGCATGTGTGTGGTGTGGGTCAGGGGACAGTCTAGGCTGGGCCAGGCCATAGCACTCATCTTGCAAGAACCAAAATGGGGTGTGGGCTGGGCTTGGCTGTAACATCCAATAAGGGCTGATATCTGAGTTGAAGCACCCACTAGCATGCACAAGATCCAGGGCAGGTGGGGAAACTATTGGGAACTCTGCTGCTAGGCTGTAACTCCAACTGGCGAGCATAAGAGCTGGGTCTGGGGGTGGGCCTTGTGGGGGTTCCTAACTAGGCCTCACCATCTGGGCCTGTGTCAAGCTGGGCTGCACTAGGACTCTGTACTGGATGGTTCACCAGAGACATGGGACTCAGAGGGAACTGACCAGGCAGATGAATCCCCAACTAGAACCTTGGACTCAAACCCTAGCCACACGGAAAAATCACAAGTTACGTGGTTTGACCTCGGAGTACATATAACGAAACTGGGCCTCCTCAATTGCTGACGCCTGTGCATCAGACAGCATGCCCAGGGTCATGTGGGGGACATGACATCCAGCTCATCAGAGGAGCAGAGGGTCAGGGAACAGCAGGGCTGGAACAACTCTTCTGGCCTGTTACAGCAAGTGTCTAGTCTGTGGATGCACTTATGTGGTCTTGGGCAACAGACTGTGGAAACATTTTTCTCAGCCTTGGTGCAACAAAGCTAACAATATCTTAGAACTATCAAAACCATTCAAGTAACACACTTGAAACATTCTTCACCACACAGGGGCTCTAAGGTGTCATCAAATGACTGTCCCCTACCCCTAGGGGGAGAGGGAGGTTAACAGAGCTTGACAAGGAGGAGAACCTGCTCCACTTCCACAGAAGATACAGGAAAACAAAAGAACAGAAGAGAAACATTTGTCCCACTCACCTCCCTCCATACCCATATCTGACCTTCCCCATCCCAATCAGAAGCCCACATGGGCGTGCCTCCCTTTCAATTATGTAAACAACATTAAAAGTAAAATAAAAAGCATTACCAAGATGGGGCTAAAACTGATATCTGCACTAACTGTGAAGAATGCTTTAATAAAGCAGATTGATGGTATATTGAACATTAAAAAAAAAACCCAAGTTTCAACTCTAATACGATTAATTTAAGAAACGGGTATTTTTATATTATCTATTTATATTCACAAGCTAATATGCTGGCTAAAAACCATCCTGAAAAACCTTATATTAAGTAAAACCATGTAGTTGTCATTACCACAACCACAACTTCCTTAATTTAATTAAAATACTCCCCCCTTTCCCTATCATAAAGTAACATATGCACACTGTAGAAATTCAAAACTGATATTGTAAAAGCCTCATATCTCTCTACTCGGAGATAGTCAACCTTGGTACACTCACATAGGTCCTTTGGTAACTTTTTTTTCTGACACTGCACACATGCTTTTTGTGTTCAAAATGGAACTACATAATCATTTGTACTATTTTCTTAAACTGTCACATATTATAACCATGGTACCATGTAAGCAACAGTATCCATTTGAATGGATAATTCTTTGCTATTGAACATCTAGGCATTACCTATTTTTGCAACTATACGATGCTTCAATATACATGCTTGTACATACATACTGCCCTTAGGAGAACTAAAATATCTTCTAATTCAGACTTTCTAATAGTTTTGATCTGCCTGTTATTGCTGAGCAATTTGAGATAAAATTGAATTAATTACACAAATAACTTTGTAATTTAACTTTCTGAATAAAATTTCTTACCTCGCAATAACAGATTCAACTGGCATGATATCGGGTACATAGTGGGCCATGGGGGAAACAAAGTGTCCATCTAAGATCTTACAGTCTGACTGTTCTTCAATCTAAAAGAAAAGCAAAATCAAAACATAGGCACATATCTTAGTTCATCACAGGTGCTTTTCTAATAACAAATTCTATTAAATTACTGCTTTGGGTTAGTACCATCTACCATGTACCCTTTTTATTACACTGTGGTTTTAGAAGACTCACATTTCTTTTCCTTCTACGACTTTCACTACATACTAGTTGGGAAAATAAACAAAAAGCAGATCTCAGTCAAGTAATAACACTCAATAATTTTAAATATGAAAGCACTTCAAAAAGTTCAGGAGTTGCAGCACAGTAGTGTACTGAGTTAAGCTGCTTGCTTGTGAGACTGGCACACTCACTGCCAAAAGTGGCTGCGTTTAAACCCTTCTTTCCATTGCGCCTGTCCACATTCGTCTAAGCGTTCCTCCCCGCTTCTTTGGCCATATTTCTGCCACCCTTCCTCCCATTCTTCTTCCCATATTTTCCCCACTAGGCCACCACACCAGGCCCAGGGCACCAGGTGAGGACCTTAACCACTACACTATGGCGCCAGGCCCTCTTCTGAATATACTTTTAAAAATTTCCTCCTTAGCAGTCCGGTGCTGTGGCCTATTGGCTACAGCCTCACCTTGACGCACTGGGATCCCATATGGGTATCAGTTCTAATCCCAACAGCTCCATTTCCCATCCAGCTCCCTTTTTGTGGTCTGGGAAAGCAGTGGAGGATGGCCCAAAGTCTTGGGACCCTGCACCCGCATGGGAGACCTCAAGGAGATTCCTGACTCCTGGCTTCTAATCAGTGCAGTGCCAGACGTTGTGGTCTCTTGGAGAATGAATCACGGGACAGAAGATCTTTCTCTCTGTCTCTCCTCCTCTCTGTATATCTGACTTTCCAATAAAAGTAAAATAAATGTTTAAAAAACCAATTTCCTCCTTAGGTATTTTAGAAGATTAAAGTATCTGCTAAAGGAGAATTCAAAAATGATTAAATTATTATCTACTAAATCATGTTTATTAGCTATAATGTGACAGGAGAAAACTATTCAATAGATAATGTTCAGACAGTCGTCAATTTGGTGAAAAAATTTCAGTCCCATCATAATGTGCATAATATAGATTCTGAAGTTAAGCAAGATATAATAACAGTAAAAAGATGCACATCCAATGAAAAATGAGTGAAGGACTTGAAAAAGGCATTTCTCTAAGTAAGACTATTAAACAGCCAATAATCATTTGGAATGATATTAAAAGTCATAACCTTCAGGGAAATGTAATTCAGAACCACCACAAAATACATTAATACCCACTGCGATGGCTCAGACAAGTACAACTGCTGGTGATAACATGGCAATACTGGAACATTACACGCACACATAGGAATATAAAATGGTACACTGTTAAAAACAGCATGAAAGTAAATACTCATCATGTGGCTTATCGACTACCCTTGAATATATACACACGAGGGAACTGAAAACCTATGTGCATGCAAAAACATCAATACAAATGTTCATTGCAAGTACTATTCATAATAGCCCCAAAATGTAAACAATCCTGAACACTCATCATTTTACAAATGGCTAAACTGATGGACTAGAATAGTATTTGCTTTTAAATAAAGTACTGATACATGCTACAATAAGGATGGATCTTCAAAACACACTAAGTAAAAGAGGCAAGACACAAACTATTTCAATTAAAAGGAATCATCAGAAAAGGAAAAGTACCCTTAAGACACAAAGGGGAATAGTGAATGTTGGCACGAGAATGTCAAAGGCCAAGGACAGGGACAACTATGTACAACACTTCTTTCTGAGCTAATGAAAACGTTTCAGAAGAGTTTGCAAAAATAATATTAGTAGTTCAACCTTGGAACATAAATTTAAACCATCCATATATAGTTTTTAAAAAAGTTTTTATGGTCTGTGACTTTGTTTCAATTGTTAAAAACCCAAGGGGAGGGTCCATTGCAGCAGCCTAGAGGCTGAAGTCCAACCTTGCATGCACTGAGAATCCATATGAGTACTGATTCACATCCCAGCTCCACTTCTCTTCCAGCTCTCTGCTTATTGACTTGGAAAGCAGTCGAAGATGGCCAAAAGCCTTGGGACCCTGCACCAATGTGGGAGACCCAAAGAAGCTCCTGGCTCCTGGTTATGGCTAGGATAAGATCAGCTCTGGCCATTGCAGTCACTTGTGGAGTGAACTACTGGATGGAAGATCTTTCTGTTTTTCCTTCTCTCTAAAAATCTGACTTTCCAATTTATTTTTTAAAAAAATTTATTTTATTTTCATTACAAAGTAAGATATACAGAGAGGAGGAAAGACAGAAAGATCTTCTGTCTGATGATTCACTCCCCAAGTGAGCGCAACTGCCAGTGCTGCGCCGATCCAAAGCCAGGAGCCAGGAACCTCTTCCGGATCTCCCATGCTGGTGCCGGGTTCCAAGGCTTTGGGCCGTGCTCGACTGCTTTCCCAGGCCAGAAGCAGGGAGCTGAATGGGAAGTGGAGCTGTTGGGATTAGAACTGGTGCCCATATGGGATCCCAGTGCATTCTAGGTGAGGACTGTAGTCGCTAGGCCACAGCGTCGGGCCCTGACTTTCCAAACTTTTACAAACAACAACAAGGGGAAGGGAACTGTAAAAATCAATTTCAGGCCCCAGCACAGTAGCCTGGTGAAAAAGTCCTTGCCTTGAATGTACTGGGATCCCATGTAGGTGCTGGTTTGTATCTTGGCTGCTCCATTTCCCATCCAGCTCCTTGCTTGTGGCCTGGGAAAGCAGTCAAGAATAAGCCTTGGGACTCTGCTCCGGCAGAAGAGACCTGGCCTCAGTCAGACTCAGCACTGGCCGTTATCAGATCTACAGAGAGGATGAGAGAGAGAAGGATCTTTGTTCGCTGGTTCACTCCCCAATTGGCCATAATGGCTGGTGCTGAGCCTAGCTGAACCCAGGAGCCTTGCCCAGGTCTCTTCTGCGGGTGCAGGGTCCAAGGCTTATTATTGATTGCTTTCCCAGACCACTAGCAGGCAGCTGGATGGGAGGTAGAGCAGCCAGGATACAAACCAGCACCCAATGGGATCCCAGTGTGTGCAAGGCGAGCACTTCAGCAGAAAGGCTACTATGCTGGGCCCAATAAGCATTTTTTTTTTTGTTTTTTAAAATAAAGTAGCAGAGGTTAAAATGCCAGTTGATTTTTACTGATATCCTTTTAATCTTTTTATTTTAAGCCTATAGTTAGCAATAGAAAACAATTATTCAGCAAAATTTCAGAGTCAGGAAAAATGTCCCAAATACACAAATCCAGAAGATTCAGAGGGAAGGATTTAAAACATGAATGAGGAGTTGCCAATTTATTAAATCTTACTCTCAGCAATGCAATTCTTGAGAAGGAGACATTTTATGATCTCCAACATACAAGAGAACCAAGTAAAGTAAGGTTGGCTGAAGGGCAGGTAGGTAAGTAGAAGTCCACCCACTGCACCCCATTGTAAAACTATTGTAAAGCCTTCGGTTATACAATCTAGAAATACTTTGCAAGAAAAAAGTTGAATATCACATTTGAGGTTATTTCATAAAGCTTGAGGAAAACAGAATTAAAAGATAATTTCTTCAGCATGAAAATTTTTTTGAATTCATATTTTTTAATAATAGGAACTTTCCAGGAATTTCTAGAAGAGTCTTCATACATGCCCCCAAATAGTTATTACAAATATGAGTCCCACTTTTATTTATGACTTCGTGCTGGGGGATGCGGAGTGCCTCTGGTCCCTTGCTGGCCAGAGTATATGAGGTCACCAGAGACTCTCAGAAGGAGGTTCTGAGCGAGTAGAGGGTCACCTCAGGCTCCTCCCTCTCCTGGCTGCCAGGTTTGTGGACAGGTACTCACGTGGTCAGACCCTAGCAGTGGGACTTAGCACCAGTGGCCTGCCCAAGGTGGCCTCCAGAGTGGCCTGGTACAATACGACCTTCTGTCTTTCTTCAAGCATAAGCTGCCAGTGGCCATTCTTGCTCCACTTGCAGGCCACAGTATTGTCCACTGTTCTCACTGCTACTCTCAAATGCATTAAACTCGCTCAACACACACACACTATGCATGAACACAGTTCTTAAACACTACTAGTAAGCAAACAGCATTCTCTAAATACGGAAGAAAAATCCACTGCATTCATGTTTTAGTATTTGTTGTTACTATATCCAATACTTAATCTATTTGTAGATATTTACGTTAAACCACTTAATCTATTTGTAGATATTTATGTTAAACCATCAATAATTATAGTTTTTGAATACCTTATCAATGTACACTGGATAATCGCTTGAAACAAGATTCTGGCATCTTTCTCGATTTCCAATCATTTTTCTGAATTCGAATAATCTATTATAGAAAGGGGACAAAAGGGTCAAAAATTAATCTTAACATCTATTACACTCACTATTGTGAAAGAGAAAAATTAAAATGAACAAGTCCATTTCATAAGACACATTAAAATTGTAATTTAATTATTAAAACAAAAATAACAGGTTACTTTTTTAGGTTACTATTTCTTTTAAACTAGGCATTTGTATCTGAAAAATACAGACATTGTTCAGATGGTAATCAACACATACATGACTCAAAATTAAATGCATCAATCCTAGAAATTCATTCTTTTTTAAAGATTTATTTATTTTTATTGCAAAGGCAGATATACAGAGAGGAGGAGAGACAGAGAGGAAGATCTTTTGTTCGATGGTTCACTCCCCAAGTGAGCACAACGGCTGCAGCTGAGCCAATCCAAAGCCAGGAGCTTTTTCTGGATCTCCCATGCTGGTGCAGGGTCCTAAAGCTCTGGGCCATCCTCCACTGCTTTCCCAGGCCACAAGCAGGGAGCTGGATGGGAAGTGGAGCTGCCAGGATTAGAACCGCTGCTATATGGGAAAGCGGTGCATTCAAGGCAAGGACTTTAACCACTATTGCTATCACACCGGGTCACCAGAAATTAATTTTTTAAGTTCAGATTTTTCTATTACTTTAGTTTTACAGTGTCATGTTAGCCAGGAAAAGAGTTTGGAAAGCATATACTTTAACCAGCCTTGTATTATTAAGGCTAAAAATCCAGTTTGTTGGGGTAATGTTGTAGAGCAATGAGTTAAATTGCATTCTAAAAGCCTATATCAGTGGATGCCAATCCAGTTTCCTGCTAATGTGTCTAGGAAAGTAGTTTTGGCCCCTGTCCCCATATGGAAGACCTTCATGAGGCTCCTGCCACTTGGCCCCCACCTAGCCAACCCCAGCCCTGGATGCTGCAGCTATCTGTGGAGTGATCCATGCAATGGGAAACTATCTCTGTAATTCTTCAATTCAGATAAATATTTTTTTTCTTAAAGATTTATTATTTTATTGGAAAGACACATTTACATAGGTGAAGAGAAACAGAAAGATCTTCCATCTGCTGGTTCACTCCTCAAGTGGCCGCAATGGCCAGAATTGAGCCGATGCAAAGCCAGGGCCAGGGACTTTTTCCAGGTCTCCCACATGGGTGTAGGATCCTAAGGCTTTGGGCCTTCCTTGACTGAAATCCCAGGCTACAAACAGGGATCTAGAAGGGTAATGGAGCAGCTGGGATGTAAAGCAGCACTCAGATGGGCAGAAAGGTGAGGACTTTAGTCACCGGGCTACTGCACTGGGTCCCAGATTAAAAAAAAGAAAATCTGGTTTTGGGCTCAGTGTGGTGGCCTAAAGGCTAAAATCCTTGCCTTGAACGTGTCAGGATCCCATATGGGAGATGATTATAATCCCAGAGGCAGGTCCTGCTTCCTATCCAGTTCCTTTCTCATGGCCTGGGAGAGCAACTGAGGATGGTCCAAGACCCTGGGACCCTACACCTATGTGGGAGACCTGGCTTCGGATCGGTACAGCTCTGGTTGTTGCTGTCATTTGGGGTGAATCACTGGATGGGAGATCTTCCTCTCTGTCTCTCCTCCTCTCTGTATATGTGACTTTCCAATAGGAATAAATAAATATTTTTTTAAAAATCTGGTTAATGCTTCTTAAAGGTTTATTTTAAAATCTGAATTAAAAAGTATAATTATTTATTTTTATTAGAAAGGCAGATTTACAGAGAGAAGGAGATACAGAAAGATCTTCCATCAGCTGCTTTGCTCCCTGAATGGCCACAATAGCTAGACCTGAGCCGATCTGAAAACAGACTGAAGCTTCTTCAGGCTCTCCCATGTGGGTGCATGGTTCTAAGAATTTGGTCCATTTTTTGCTGCTTTCCCAGGCACATGAAAAGGTTTTTCTATGGGACGTGGAGCTGGGACAAGACTGGGATCCATACGCAATCCTGGCATTTACAGGTAGATGATTATTAGCTTGTTAAGCCATCAAGCCATCATGCCAGCCCTTGGATTATCATTATTACCATTTTGAAGGGTTTTTTTTTTGTTGTTGTTACAAAAGTAGATCTACAGAGAGAAGGAGAGACAGAAATAAAGATCCTCTGTGCACAGTTCACTCCCCAAGCGGCTGCAACAGCCAGAGCAGAGCTGATTCAAAGCCAGGAACCTCTTCTGGGTCTCTGATGCAGGTTCAAGGTCCCAAGGCTTTGGGGCATCTTTAAAAATTGCTCTCTCAGGACACAAGCAGGGAGCTGGATGGGAAGTGGAGCAGCTGGAACATGAACTGGTGCCTGTAAGGGATCATGGTGTTTTCAAGGCTAGGATTTCAGCCACTAGGCTACTGTGTTGGATCAATTATTCTTGAAATACCTAAATTTTACAATATGTGGCTAGAACATAAGAGGAATAACTAAGAAGCTCAGGAAATATATTTTATAATTATATTTTAAAGTTAAAGTTTAGTTTGCTAACTACTATTGCCCAAAATAAAGTATTGTAGAACAAATATATTTTGAATATGTGCAAAAATAAAGAAAGAAAGAAAGAACAAATACTCTGGAAAAGCACACTTACCTCTTGAGATCCTCTGGCCTTCCCCATCCTCGGATGAAAAGCTTTGTGAGGAGAAGTCGTCGGTATAGAATATCTAACTTGCTCACACCCATTAGCAGCAAAGAAGCATCTGGAAAGCAATATTTAAAATAACTTTGAAAATTTTTATTTTTATTAAGGCAGCAGGTCAATTTTCTATTCCTTTGAGTACTGTAATTTTTTGTTCTTTTAAATATTTATTTATTTTTTAAAAACGTGTAATTATTTTTATTGGAAAAGCAGATTTACAAAAAGGAGAGACATACAGAAAGCTCTTCCATGTGCTGGTTCACCTCCCAAGTGGCCGCAATAGCCGAAACTGAGCCAATCCAAAGCCTGGAGCCGTCCTCTTCTGCCTTCCCTGACCGTAAGCAGGGAGCTGGAAGGGTAGTGGAGAAGCCGGGACATGAACTGATGCCCATATGGGATCCTGGCAAATGCAAGGTGAGGACTTTAACCCCTAGGTTACCGTGCTGGGACACAGATTTATTTTAAAGGCAGATTTTACAGGGAAAGATCCTCCATCCTTTGGTTCACTCCCCACATGTGCAGGCAACACCAGAGCTAAGCTGATTCCAAAGCTATGACCCAGCTTTTTCCAAGTCTCCCAGTAGGTGAAGGATCCCAAGGCTTTGGCCCATCGTCTGCTTTCTTCCCAGGTCACAAGCAAGGAGTTGGATGGAAAGTGGAGCAGCTAGAAGAATCAGTGCCATATGGGTTCCAGTGCTAATAGGTGGAGATTAGCTTGCTCTGCAACCACACCAGCCCCCAGGTGATTTACATAAAATGATCACCTTTTAAGTTCTGGCATGATGGCTCAGTGGGCAAATCCTTGCCTTTATAAGCACTGGGATCTCTTATGGGTACAAATTCGTGTGAGATCCTGCTGCTTGCAAGGGGAGGATCTGAGCCACTGAGCCATTGCACCAGGTCCATTGAAGGCCAGTTCTCCACCTTGTAATTGCCATCATTCTCATATGGGTACTGCTTCTTGTCAAGACTGTTCCATTTTCCATCTAGCTCCCGGCTTAAGGCCTGGGAAGGTAGTGGAGGATGGGCCAAGGCTTGGGAACCTATATCCATGGGAGATCCCAAAGAAGCTCCTTGATTCCAGTTTTGGATTGGCTCATCTCCAGCTATCGCTGCCATTTCGGGAATGAACCAACAAATGAAAGATCTTTCTGTCTCTCCTCTCTGTAAATTTGATTTGCCTTTCCAATAAAACAAAACAAAACAAAGAAAAAACAGCCAGTTGAGAACAGAACTAGTGTTCATATGGGATGCTGTACTGCAGGCAGAGGATGAAACTGCCACACCACTGTGTCACCCCTGGCTACTTTTATTTATATGAGATATCTAGAGAAGTCAGATTCATGGAGACAGAAAGCAGAATGCTTGTTAAGGAGCAGGGGGAAATGGAAATAAGGATGTTATTTTTTTAATGGGCATAGACTTTCAGTTGTGTAAGATGACAACTGCTAGTGGTCCCTAAGGTGCTGGTTCCTTGCAAGGACCCTGAGAGTCCTACACGTGGTGGCACTAGGGGCTCTATCTCCCAGCTTGCCTGCACCTCCTCAGCCTCCATGTTACATGATTAGAGACCCTCTCAGAGGGCAAGATCCATGCCCGCATTAAAGCAGCAGCTGCTAGCAATGTTGAAACCTTTTGGCCTGGCTTGCTGGCCCAGGCCCTATTCAAGGTCAGCCCTGAGAACTTCACCTGCAGCTCAAGGGCTGACAGACAAGCAGCAGCAGGAAGCTCTGTCCCCTCTACACTGCTGCCGGCTGCAGGAGAAATGAGAAGGAAAGAAGCTCTAGAAGAATATGATAATGACATAGGCTGTGGTCTTTTTAACTTCTTTTGTAATATATTCAACAAAAAGCTATGACTCAGGCCCGGCCCGGTGGCGCAGTGGTTAAGGTCCTCGCCTTGCACGCCCAGGATCCCATATGGGCGCCGGTTCTATCCCGGCAGCCCGCTTCCCTTCCAGCTCGCTGCCTGTGGCCTGGGAAAGCAGTTGAGGACGGCCCAAAGCTTTGGGACCCTGCACCAGCGTGGGAGACCCGGAAAAGGCTCCTGGCTTCGGATCGGCATAGCATCGGCCGTTGTGCTCACTTGGGGAGTGAATCATCGGACGGAAGATCTTCCTCTCTGTCTCTCCTCTCTGTATATCCGCCTTTCCAATAAAAAAAATAATAAAAAATAAATCCTTAAAAAAAGCTATGACTCGAAAAAAATCAGAGCTGTTTAGAGGTGACAGCTGTACTATACTTGAATAAATGTACTTAATGTCACTGAATTGAATACTTAAAAATTATTAAGGGGGAAAGCTTAATGTTATTGTATTTTATCACAATAAAAACTTGGAAACAGTAGAATTTGGACTTACTTTTTGAAAGATGTTAGAATAGGGCACAAGTATGTACAGCTGAGCATTCTCGCTCCCTGCGGGGAGGGAAGCTCAGCAGGCCTGCAGGACCACCCGCAAGGTACCTGTAGCCAGGTAGCCCGGGCGCCAAAGGTACAGGGTGAAGCCCCTCAGGATGCCCAGAGGCACACCCTTACGGTTAGAGAGACTTGATTTATAGGGGAATGATGGGATCTCACAGGTGGTAGTGAGAGGTGACCTGCAGTTTCTATGCTGAGGCACTTCAACAGGTAAGTCTACAACATGTGTATGTAAGTAGGTGACCAACATGTGACTCGTGTCAGTAGGCCCATCTTCTAAGTGAGTGGCGAATTCGTGAGCCCCAAGGGTGGGGGATCTGGTGGTGCTCAGGTCGCCTGGCCTTGGTCCTGGGGCCTACCTGCGAGGTGGGTGTTGGGGTTATGAGCCCAAGGTGGGGGATCCAGTGGGATTTAGGTCTCCTATCCCAGGCCCTGGGGCATGCCTACTAGGTGGATGTTGGGTTCATGAGCTCCAGGAGTGGGGGATCCGGTGGGGCTTGGGTTGCCTGGCTCGAGTCCTGGGACTCGCCTACTAGATGGGTGCCGGGTTTGTGAGCACCAGAGATGGGGATCCAACGATGCTTGGGACACCTAGCCAGGTACTTGGACTTGCCTGCAAGAACATGCCCTACTTAATGAAAAGGTTGGAGCAGTAGACACAGGCCCTGTTATAAAAGGAGAATATGGCAGCACATTTGGTGCTGTAGCAGAACAGAACTAACTGGACAACAGCCCCAAAACAAACAATGACAGCAAAAAATCTCAGTGAATGAAGCCAATGGACATTGGGAGGGCGACATCATCCTCGGATCAGTGAAATCGGCAGCATTTCAGAACTATCCAAACCACTTGGCCCCAATCCTCAGAACACGTACACATTGAGACTGAGCTGATATGAGGTGGTGGTTCCTCATTCCTGGGTACTGGGATGTGTGGAAAGTCGTGAGTTGTTTCCCCCTTTGTTTCTCCCCTTTCCCAGAAACAAGAATAGCAAATTTGGTAGCAATGAGCTCACCCAATTCTCCCTAAACATCAATCCTCCCCACCCTGATCAATCATGTAATCATTATTAAAAAATAAAATTTAAAAATAAAAAAAAAATAAAAAATTGGGCCTGGCACAGTGGCCTAGCGTCTAAATTCCTTGCTTGAATGCGCCGGGATCCCTTATGGGTGCCAGTTCTAATCCCGGCAGCCCCGTTTCCCATTCAGTCCCCGGCTTGTGGCCTGGGAAAGCAGTCGAGGACGGCCCAAGGCCTTGGGACCCTGCACCAGCATGGGAGATCTAGAAGAGACTGTGGGCTCCTGGCTTCGGATTGGCTGAGCTCTAGCCGTTGTGGTCACTTGGGGAGTGAATCATCGGACGGAAGATCTTTCTCTATCTTTCCTCCTCTTTGTATATCTGACTTTGCAATGAAAATAAATATTTTTTAAAAAAATTAAATTAAATTAAAAAAGGAAAAATCTAAGAACAATGAACTTTCCAATTGTAATGTACCACACTCTACTTATTATGTGTCTAAATTGTTAAATTCAAACCACTTTAATTCCCTACATAACAGGTCTCAAGAGTCAGCAATCCCAATCTATAATTAGTGTATTTATTCACTGCTATATTTATCTAATGAGGAACAGAAATGAAATATACACACAACCTAATATAAATTTGTTCCTAGAATTAAAAATTATACAAAGATCTTCTTAAATTCCATTTCAGCTTCCAAAACAATAAAAGGATATGAGCTATTTCTGGAACCCCATAAACACCTTGGTCTTTTTAGGCAGGAGCAGCTGAGCTCAACATATCAAGTACCAGAGCAAAAATTTAATAATCCAAGACCAGGAAAAAGACAACCCCAGTTTACCCAGCGGCACCATTTGGAGGTAGGCCAGACACTTAAAAGCCTTTCTAGCAAGCTGGATGGATACCAAGAAGCTTTTGCAGACACAGGACCCTTCTGAATTATGTATCAAGCCACAAACTAACACAACGGTCATCTATGTTTTTAAATAGCCAGTGTGAAAGGAAAATCAAAATGGAACAAAAATAGAAGTTCTAGTACAGTGCCAATGAATGAAAAGTCTTTCCTAGAAATGAGCTCTCCTGCTAAAGTAGCACTCATGGTCTCTCAGGCCATCTGTCACTTTGGTAACCTATTGAAACAATTTTTATTACTTTAAAATTCAAAGACATTATGAAATTATTAAAAACATCACTGAGTACTAAAACTTCACCCCTGTTGAAAACAGAATCCTATTTTTTACTCTTGTAATTTCACTTTCAAATCACATAGTTTCAACACAGTTTAAGTAGCTAAGAATGGGTATAGAGACCTGATTTTGCACTTTTTTCCAACAAATTTAATTCCCTTTAATTGTTCTGGAGAGAGCAGGAAAACAAAGTTTGTTTAGGAGTGGAAGATATCTTCTGAGCAGTCGTGAAGGAAATTCAGCTACAAGAATGTCTGATACTTCTGCGTCAAGCAACTGGAAATAATCTGACCTCTTCAAATTTAGCTCCCCTCCTGGTGGGTTTTTAAAACCCCATATTTTTGGGCGGAGGTAGGCATTGTGGCACAGCAGTTAAGACTTTCCTTAGGATACACAAAAACATGGGTCCCTGCTATACAAGTGAGCAACTCAGATGAAGTTCCAAGCCTGTGGCTTTGGCCTGGCCCGCTCTGGTTGCTGCAGGCACTGGGGAGTTAACCAGAAGCTGCAAGATCTCTCTGAATATGTCTCTCTGTCACTACATCTTTCAAATACCTGAAAACTTCAAAAAAACAACTATTCAATGTTCAAATAAACGCTACATGTGTTCTTCAGCACAGCCTCTTTTTCCTTGGTACAACACACAGAGCTTATTTAGACGTCACAGCTGTACATGCGCTCATTCCATGTCTGTTTGTGGCCTGAAGTCATCGCTTGGACACATCAATGGAAAGACCCGGGTTTCTCCCCTAGCTCGTGACCTTGAGCTAGCCAGTGGAACCTATACATGAGAAACAATACCCGGCCTGGGACGTCACTGCAAATTATTTTATTTCTCTAAGAGGTAAACGCTTGTATTGGTATTTTATAAAGACGCTTGGTGGTAAGGCACAGGTTATGCAGTCCCAGAGTTCTGTGTTTCTGAATTCTGCCTCTGTTGCTTGTTAGCAGGGTGCCTCTAGATCAGTTCTTTGATCTTGCCTGCATTGAGTTCCCTGGTAAGTTTAAGACAAGCCCCACTTCAGAGGACTGTTAGTAGCGAAGAAATGAGGCTATTTAACAGAGGCTCATTCAGTATACATCTAATCCACAACCATTCTGCTTGGTGCAGTACTGAACACAGTTCCTCTGTCCCACTATAAATGAGCCATATGCTGTGCCAGTCTCCAAGGACTAACAGACCACAACTTCACTGTAAAGCAACTGCATTTCAGGAAAATGCGAACTTTTCTACCTAGCTATCTCTGAACTCCTAGGCATCTAGTACGATTTTGTAAGCATGGTTAAGTGAATTTGCAAGAATGAATGCAGGTACAAAACTTTCTGAATACAGCAGATGATTCTGAATGAACAAGAGCACATTCCGGGTTAGCTGCATCGGAGGGAAGCATACAGGAAGGCCGCAGATGAGAGAATGACTGGAAGAGATGGTGTGTATGCTATAAGACCTGGTGACAGGTATGAGCTTGAAAGAACTGCTTTGGGTTCACTCAAAATCCGGGTGGGTTAACATCTGTGGACCTTCGTTCTGGATAAAACAGAAGGGTGCTCGCTTTATTTATCTCGCAGTATGGCTGTGATGAAATCCAATCACATGACAATATAATTAGGGCTACAAAAATATGAATATATAAGCTACATAATGACTACTTACCACCCACCTGCCTACAAACCTAATTGTGAGGATGTTAACACCCAATCACCAGAAAAGCAGACATCATCTAGGTCTAGTGCAAACAGTCAAAAAATATTTGGCAAAAATATCATCTCGTGTCGGCTAAGCAGGTGCTGTGCCTCTCCTAATACAGAGATTCCCGCAGCAGGTTTATTTAGCGGCATCTTGAAAGGCTGAGACCCCAGCAGGTTAGAAGTGCCCTTTCCCTCTCCAGTCCCAACTCTGACAAGCACCACCCACGTCAGGTGCCTTTGTAGTTCGCCAAGCGAGAGTCACCTCTGCCTTGCCCTGGAGAAGGTGACCGCCCGGCCACCCACCTCGTCCCGGTGCCGGGTGCCGTGCCCCGTTGCTCGCCCCTCGCCTCAGCCCACGTCCCGGACCCTCACGTCTCTCCCTCGCCCGGCGCCCCCCCGTCCCTGCTTCCCGTCACGTACGCAGCGCGCTGGGAGGCGCCCAGGAGGCACGGACCCGGCCGCGACTAACTCACCAGCCCGCCGGGCGGGAGCCTCCCAGCGCAGCAGTTCCTGGAGGCCCTGGGATCCACTGCCTTCCAAAGTCCTAAGGCAGCAGCCGCAGCCTCTCCAGGAACGCCGAGACGGACGACTGCGGGAGGCCAAGTGGCCGGCGAGGAGGAGTCCACGGAGGGCGGGCCGTTCCGGTGAGCCCTCCTCCGTCCTGCGAACGCGCAGTCCCGCCGGGAGCAGCCGGGGAGCCCCGCCCCGGCCGCTGGAGCCCCGCCCCGGCCGCTGGAGCCCCGCCCCGGCCGCTGGAGCCCCGCCCCGGCCGCTGGAGCCCCGCCCCGGCCGCTGGAGCCCCGCCTCTACTCTCGGACGCCCCGCCCCCGCGGGCGCATGCGTACTTACAGTCTTGTTTTGACACTTGCAGGCCCTCCGGGATGGGCGGGAGCAAATGTCGCGAGACTTGGGCGGCAAGCCGCCTCCGGTAGCTAGCGATGGCGAGCCTGGGGACTGAGGCTGAGCGGGAGCCGCTGCTAGGCCCCCGCGCCCCCGGAAGCAGGTGAGCGGATGCTGGTGGAAGGGCCCCCCACCTCGAGGCGCTAGGTCCTTCCCAAAGGCTTGCCGCCTCCGCCCAAGCGCTCCTTGCCACAGGCGGATCCCGCCGCGGCGGGCGCCGGCTCAGCAGCCTCACGAGCCCGAGGAGGTTCGCTCCGGACCTTGGGGAATGGGCTTCGAAACGCGTGGTGCGGTGAGCCAGTGGGTTTGGAATGTCCACCTCGAGAGACGGGCTCTCCGGGATGATTGACCTTTCTTGGAAATAGAGAAGAATTGGGGTAGGGCAGCAATGACGGGTCCTGGACATATCTGTGGGAGGAGGGGTGAGAAAAGGGACATCTTTAGGGACGCTCGGCGTCTTCGCAACAAAGTTGCTAGGTCACAGAAACTCGTGGCAGAATTTGGCGTTTGGTTGTGCACAGCCTCTGCGAGCAGAGTGTCCTGGGAGCGGCAGCTTAGCTGGGATCCTGCAGCCTTGAGGAAGTTACTTGCTGTGCGCTCCGGTCACCGACCTGTGTGTGGGAATGTTCTGCGATGAGGCATGAGGACCTCTTACAGGTGTTCGTGTGTGGGTGGTGTGGAAGGGCCTCTGTAGGTCGGTTATCCCAGGGCCCCTTGAGGGGACACACCGACGGTAGAGAAATCCCAGCTGCCTCTTTGGTAACAATGAAGGAACCAAGATCCTGCATTCCGCATTTGGCCTCTTAAAGCTGGTCACTTCCTAATATTAGCATTGACCTACCCAATTGCCCCATATCTTCTGCAAGTTTGTTAACCATCATAACAGCAACAGCCATCTCAAATGTACTCACCCTTGTCCTATGCAAATAAAAAATAACTTTTTAAGCACTAAAGAGGTGTGTTTGTATTGTAATTCTTTCCATTTTGGTTATTTTGACCTTGGTTTACAGGCAATGATTCAGAAATGTTTATAATTCATCTCATACATTCCCAAATGTGTGTGTGGATATATGTAAGATATATATAATCATTAGCCATGTATATATATATAAAACCATATATATATAACCATTAACAAGCTAATCAGATAGCATTTTATTTGGGATATGGTCATATCAGAAACAAACTGGTTAGCCTTAAGCTTTGTGTAACCATATTGATTTTTGCTTACTTGTTCTTTTTCAGCACCAAACCTTTTTTTAACCACTTTGAAACCTTTCAGAAAATGTATTTTCTCTAGTTTTAGGGTTACTCAGTGTTTGGGTTGTGTTCTTAGAGCATAGATGTAGCTGCATGACTTTGAACTCATAAACTTTGGCATTTGTTTTTTTCAGAATAGGTTTTTTTGCTTCTTGTTTTTTGTCTTTTTCTGCCGAATGTAGGATCCTTGAGTTATGGTTCCGTGTGACCTTACAGTACATTCTGTAATCCCTCACAAATTTGTTTAAAGAGAGAATCTGAAGTGAGCGTTTGGCCCGGTGGTTAAGACACTGCTTGGGATACCCACAGCCTATGTTGGGGTAGCCATGTGCAAGCCATGGTTGCAACACCAACTTCCTGTTAGTGCACATCCTGGGAGACGACAGGTGGTTACACAGGCACCTAGGGCACTACTGCGCATGCAGGTGACCCAGACTGAGTTCCAGGCACCTGGTTTTGGCCTCACTCAACCCTGCTGCTACTGACACCTGCAGAGTCAATCGGCACAAAGATGATCTCTCTGCCTTTAGAATTAATAAACAAGTAAGAAAATCTTAGGTGTGTGGGCATTTAGTCTAATGGTTGAGATGCCACTATACCTGGGTTTAATACCTAGCGTGGCTCTTGACTCTGGTTTCCTGCTAAGGTATGACCTGGGAGGCAGCAGGTGACGTTACAAGTTACGACTCAAATGGTGAAGTCCCTGCTGCTCACATAGCAGACCTGGATGAAGTTCTTGGTTTATTGCAGAAATGTTTAGCAGGTAACACCGTGAAAGACTTAGTTTTACTTAAAGGAGCATCTCAGATGGAAAGCTAATACCATCAGTGATAAGAGAAAGAAATTTTATTTATTTAGAACATTTATTTTATTTTTATTACAAAGTCAAATATACAAAGAGGAGGAGAGGCTGAGAGGATGACCTTCTGTCCAATGATTCACTCCCCAAGTGAGCACAACAGCTGGTGCTGTGCCGATCCAAAGCTAGGATCCAGGAACTTCTTCCAGGTCTCCCACACGGATGCAGGGTCCCAAAGCTTTGGGCCATCCTAGACAGCTTTCCCAGGCCACAACCAGGGAGCTGGATGGCACTTTCAAGGCGAGAACTTTAGCCATTAGGCCACACTGCCAGGCCGGAGAAAGAAATTTTAAAAAGCTAAACAACGGCCCAGCACGGTAGCTCAGTGTCTAAAGCCTTACTTTGCAGGCACCATGATCCCAAACTGCTACAAGTTCATACTTCAATTGCTCCACTTCTCATCCCAGCTCCCTGCTTGTGGCCTGGGAAAGCAGTCAGGAACAGCCCAAAGCCTTAGGACCCTGCACTCCTGTGGGAGACCTGGAGCAAAGTTCCTGGTTCCTGGCTTCAGATTGGCATAGCACCAGCCGTTGCTTTCACTTGGGGAGTGAATTATCGTATGGAAGATCTTCCTCTCTGTATCTCCTCTGTATATCTGACTTTCCAATAAAAATAAATAAATCTTTAAAAATTATGATTATCTAATTTTATTAGTCCTTCTCTATTTAATAATTACCATTTAAAGGGAAATATTTATTAAAAAATTTTTATTTGCAAGTCAGAAAAACAGATTTCCCAGACACCAGTTAATTCGCCAAATGCCCACAATGACTGAAATGGACCAGTCTTCCTCTTGGTTGCTTTGTCTGTAAAGTAGATAAATATTTTAAAATAAACATTTTAAAAGTGTTTTAAAATATTTCTCTTCTTCCTTCTTTATACCATTTCTGACCTTATAATATTTAAAATAAATTTCTGTTTGGCATACTGATTTGACAGCTCTAAGGACTTATTTTAGAGAAGCATCTAGGGACCAGTGAGGTGGAATAGCATGATAATCCTCCATCTGTGGCACTGGCATGCCTTATGGGTGCTATTTTATGTCCTAATTGCTGTGCTTCAAAAGCAGCTCAATTCCTGCATATGCTTGGGAAAGCAGCAAAGGATGGCTCAAGTCCTTGGGCCCTAGCACCCACATGTGAGACCAGGAAGAAGCTCCTGATTCCTGGCTTCTGGTCACCCCAGCTCTGGCTGATATGAGGAATGAACCAGCAGATGACCTCTCTGTGTTTCCTCCTCTTTCTTTAAATTCTGCCTTTCCAGTAAAAATAAATAAATCTTAAAAAGGAGAAAATAATCTAAAGGGTTAGTTTTTGATTTAGTAGTTAAGATGCTCACATCCCATACTGGAGTGCTCAGTTCAAGTCCCAGCTCCATTTCCCATTCTAGCTTCCAGCTAATGTATGTCATTGGAGGCAGCAGGCAGTATCTTATTTACATCCTATCACCCACGTGCGAGACCCAAATTGTGTTCCTGGTCCCTTGGCTTTGGCCTGGCCCAGGTCTAGCTACCTCAGGTATTTGAGGTATAAGATGGGAGATCAGAGATTTCTTTTTCTACTATTTATTTATTTATTTATTTATTTTTAAGATTATTTTATTTGAAAGTATTAGGGAGAGACAGAAAGACATCTTCCATCTACCGGTTCACCTTCCAGGGGCTGCCATGGCCAGTGCTGGGTTGGTCCAAAACCAGGAGCCAGGAGTTTTCTTCCAGGTCTCCCATGTGGGTGCAGTGGCCAAGGACCTTGGATCATGCTCTCTACTTTCCCAGGCCATTAGCAGGAAGCTGCATGGGAAGCGGAGAAACTGAGGCAGGAACCAGTGCCCATATGGGATGCCAGTGTCGCTGGCTGAGGATTAGTATGTGTAACACTGCATCAGTTTCTCTTTACCTTTTAAATTAATGAAAACAAATAATAAATAATAATCTTTTTAGAAATAATTTTGAAACACAAGACATTTTGATTGTTATGTTTTCCTTAATTGAAAACAGAATGCTAACATTAAGCTAAATCCTTTTAAGCATGAGTGTATAAGTGAACAGATAATACACACTTGTATATTGATTGCTTAATGAAAATAGAATGTCCTACTTAGCATACTTGCTATTAATCCAGGTCAGAAGTCTGAGACCTATCCAGAATCTAAACCCAGGCTGAGGTGTTGATTTTTCCTTTCTTTTCCTGATAGGTTATCTGGTAATCATATTTGAGCAAAGTCATGTATTACAGGAGGGTTTAAAGCTTGGAATGTTTTGAGTTTATGTTAAATCTTTCTCTTATGTTAATTTTCTGAAATGCTAAGCCAAAATAGCTTCTTCAGGTTAATGTACTGCCATCAAGTAAAGCATGTTAGAATGATGAGAATAATTGTATTTACTACATTGTAGCTCTGTTTTCCCCTTGTGGGAGATCTAGTTATCACTGATTTGATTTATCTTGATAAAGTTTAGTCTATTTTATTGTCTTAAATTTTCAGTACTTTTGATTAATAAATGCATATGTGCAATGATAGCAGAATAATTGTTTTGTGAAATAATTTGCCATTTTTAGCTAATTCATGTCTTTTTGGTTTTCGTGATGTGTAAATACAAAAATAATAACTTATAAATAAAACAGTGCAACATGACTAATATTAGTACATTATAGCTTTTTCATATAATTTTCATGAATTTTGAGGGAGAGAAAATAAAATTGTTAACGTAAATTCCTTGTTTTTTAAATTATTAATTACATTGCATTATGTGACACAGTGTTATGGGCACTGGGATTCCCCCCGACCCCTCCCCGAACCCTCTCCTTATGGTGGATTTCTCCACCTTGTTGCATTACCACAGTTCAAAATCAGTTGGGGTTATTTCATTGGAAGTATTTACCAAGCATAAAGTCCAGTGTCTTATTATCCTAGTGTGTTCAATGATTTCTTGGTGAGACCATCTCTGGTTTGAAGGTAAAGCCAGCAAAGAATCATCCCAATCAATTAAAAGCCCCGACATAACATCAACAACCATTTACAACCTTATGGCATTAACTGACATGGTATTGATTGACAGTATGTTAATAAGAAAATGTGAGTTCTTAACTAAGATTTATTTATTTTGTTGGAAAGGCAGATGTACAGAGAGGAGGAGAGATAGAAAGAAAGATCTTCTGTCTGATGATTCACTCCCCAAGAGACAGCAATGGCCAGTGCTGTGCTGATCCGAAGCCAGGAGCCAGGAAATTCTTTCCAGGTCTCCCTCATGGGTGCAGGGTCCCAAAGCTTTGGGTCATCCTCAACTGCTTTCCCAGGCCACAAGCAGGGAGCTGGATGGGAATGGGGCTTCTGGGATTAGATCCGGCGCCCATATGGGATCCTGCCACGTTCAAGGCAAGGACCTTAACCATTATGCTATTATGCCGGGCTCCTGTTAACATAAATTCTAACACATGGAGGCTGAAAGCTTGGGACCAGCCATATTTCAGACTTCTGACTCTTTCAGATTTTGAAATATTTGCATATAGAGATATAATAGAGGTAGCACTCAAGTCTAAACGAATTTAATTTCTGTTTCATATATTTCTTACATAGTCTGAAGATATTCCTGGATAGTATTCTCAGTGGGCTCAGTATCTGACTCTAACCTATCATGTGAAGTCCCATGTAGAGTTCTCCATCTTATTAGCAGCAAAGCATTTTGAATTTTGGAGCAGTTAGGATTTTGGATTTTTGGATTAGGGATTTTCAACCTGTACTACTTTTTTTTTCGTTTCACCTAGAGAAGCAGACGTTATAGAAACTGAAGAACACTATAGAAGCCGATGGAGATCTATTAGGGTTCTGTATCTTACTATGTTTCTCAGCAGTGTGGGTAAGTATTAGAAACTATTCGTGATTTTATATATTCAAAGATGATGACCTGTTTTAGCCTCATCAAAATAGCCTTTTATTGTACTAAAAGTATAATTCAATTTTACCATGTTATAATTTTTTAGACGATTCATTTTTTTTTATTTGAAAGCTAGAGTCACAGAGAGGAGAGACAGAGGAAAATCATCAATCCACTGGCTCACTCCCCAAATGCCACACTGGCCAGAGCTGAGTTGATTCAAAGCGAGAAGCCAGGAGCCAGGATCCAGGAGCTTCTTTCTGTGTCTCCCATATCCAGGGACTTGGACCATCCTCAGCTGCTTTCCCAGGCCATGAGCAGGGACCTGGGTGGAAATGAGGCAGCCAGCGCATGAATTGGTGCCTACATGGGATGCCGGCACTTGTAGGCAGAGAATTGGCTTTTGAACCACTCACTTCCTCATGTTGTCATTTTATAAGAGGAATAAAATGCTGACATAGGCTGTAACATGGATAAATTTTGATAACATTAAGTGAAAGAAGCCAGGCTTAAAAACCATATAACATATGATCCTTTCATTTGGAAATTCAGAATGGGAAACTGTAACATAGGAAGTGGTTGCTTAGGACTGGTGAGAGAGGAAGTGCTGGGTATCAGGGCAATAGCAAAAGCTTGTCGGGTTTCTTTTTGAGCTGTGTGAAAATCTTCTTAAATTATTTGTCATTAAAGTTGTGTATGTCCATAGTTATCCTACAAGCCATTCACTTATATGCTTTAAATTGATTAATTATGTACTATATGCATTATACCTTAATGAAGCTATTTGTGTAAAATACACTTTCTAGGGTTTTTTTTTAGTAGATTTGTGTAACATGTAAAATTAACAATTTTAAGAATTTCAGTTCTTAAGTAGTAAAGGCTGATAGACATAATGAATTTGCTTTAAAGATATGGTCATCTTGAAGTAAACTGATTCTTTACAGACACTGCCCATTTAGATGATGCTTTTGCTTCTTCCTAGTATTCACCACAGTGAATTATCTTTCCCAGCCATACAGACTGGAGCCTGATACTCCTGTCTAATTAAGTGAGCTGTCTTTTATTTATTTCTGCTAAAAACAAACAAACAAAAAATGTGGGGGCCTGGCATGGTAGCCTGGTGGCTAACGTCCTCACCTTGCATGTGCTGGGATCCCATGTGGGTACCAGTTTTAATCCCAGAAGCCCCGGTTCCCATCCAGCTCCCTGCCTGTGGCCTGGAAAAGCAGTTGAGGTTGGCTCAAAGCCTTGGGATCCTGCACCCACATGGGAGATCTGGAGGAAGTTCCTGGCTCCTGACTTCAGATTGGCTCAGCTCCTGCCATGGCAGCTGCTTGGGGAGTGAATCATTAGACAGAAGATCTTCCTCTCTGTTTCTCCTCCTCTCTGTATATCTAACTTTCCCATATAAATAAATAAATAAATCTGAAAAAAAGAGAGAGAAGTGAATAAAACTGGGGCCAGCATTGTGGCACAATGGGTTAAACCACTGCTTATGCTGCCCATAGCCCATATTGGAATGTATGTTCCAGTCCTTGGTCCCATGCTGCCTGTTAGACTCCAGGATGGAGTTAATGGCCATTGGCTTCCTCCTGGCCCATACCTGGCTGTTGCTGCTGTTTGGAAAGTAAGCCAACAATGGAAGATTTATTTCTGTATGTCTCTCCCCACGTCACTCTGATTTCCAAGTAAATATATTTTTCAAAAAGATTTTATTGAAAAGAAAGATTGACAGAGGGAAGGAGAGGCAGAGAGAGGGAAACATCCCATCTGCTGGTTTAATCCCCAGATAGCCACAACAGAGGGAGCTGAACCAATTTGAAGCCAGGAGCCAGGAACTTCTTCAGGTTTTCCATGCTGGTGCAGGGTCCCAAGGCTTTGGGCTATCCTTGACTGTTTTCCCAGATCACAAGCAGGGAGCTGAATAGAAAGTGTAGCAACCAGGATATGAACCGATGCCCACATGTGATCCTGCTGTATACAAAGTGAAGATATAGCCACAAGGCTATTGCACAGGGCCCTTCAAGTAATGATTTATTTTTTAAACTGAATAAAGCTTTCAGTAATTTCCATTTGCAGTAAAAACCTGTGGGTGTGAAGAAATAGGTCTTCTGCTTGAATACATTCATTAAGGTCACAGACACTCTAGCTGTATGTTATTTTCAGGCCTTTAGTGTTCATTATCTTTCTGACAATTAAAAAAATCTCATTATTTGATAAAGTTGACCTTTATCCATACATTTGTAGATCTAGAATGAGATTTTGAAGTTCATACTTTAGGGGTTGGTGTTTAATGTAGCAGTTTAGGTGCCCATTTCCCATATTGGTGAACCTGGGTTCTAGTCCTGGCTTAGGCTCCTGACTCTGCCTTCTTGCTAAGGCAAACCCTGGGAAGCCTGGGAAATGGCCTGTGTGGTCGGGTTCCCGCCACCCACAAGGGAAACCTGTAGCATATTCCCAGATTCTAGCCTCAGTGCCAGCCTACCCTCTGGCCATTTGGACATCAAACCAGCAGATGGGAACTCTCTGTGCTTCATCTCTTTGCCTCTGAAATACATTAATTAAATGAAAAAATAAAACCCATGCTGTATATCCAAAAATTGTATCTGCAATGGTGATTAAGCCACTGTCAGACTAACCAAATTTGCTTCTTTACAGGATTTTCTATTGTGATCATGTCAATATGGCCGTATCTCCAAAAGGTTTGTATATTTTAATCTATTTTGAAGTAATATTTCCCAGAGACTCTCTTTAGAATTTGTGGTTTTCATCTGTACTAAAATAACTTGAGATAACTGTGCCTCGAAAGAGCCTTGTAAGTAAAAAGATCCTATGATTTTCCTTATGCAAAACAGAAGAATTTTGAAGTAAAATAGGTGCTATAGTGGGAAAACAGAATTATACCTAGAAAGTCTCAGGCAAATGTAGATGTATGGTCACCTACTTACCAGCCACTTTTTCATCCTGCCACTGTCTCTTTCCTAATATAAAACAAACTAAACTGAACCTAGCTCAGACTCCCCAAATACATAGATGGTAGTTCGGAGGAATAATTTCATCCTATTCTCATTAAATTATTTTGGGTGGCCAAATAACATTGTAAAAAAATCATGTGGTCATCTCTCAGGCTCCTCAGGTCTTTGCATGCTTTTTTCCTTTTATTCTCCTGTCTTCTCTGCATCCCTTCCTGCCCGCTTCCTCCTTAAAGACTTTGCTTCAGTTCCGCTCTCTGGAAAGCTTTCTCTGACATCCTTCATCCTAGAGTGGTATGAAGGTGTTTCTATCTATAGATCCAGCCAACTATAGAATGAAAGTATTTGAAGAAAATTGCATCACAATTGAAGACGTAGATGTTTTTCCTTGCCCTTATTCTTTAAACAATGTAGTATGACATTTACACTTTATTAAATATTTTAAGTTATTTAGACATGACCTAGAAGATTTGAGAAGCCAACAGAGACTTTGGTCAGTAGGGGGTCTAGAACAGTCCCCTGATGATTGAAAAACAGCTGTACATGGGCCCGGCGCGGTGGCGCAGTGATTAAGGTCCTCGCCTTGCATGCCCGGGATCCCATATGGGCGCCGGTTCTAATCCCGGCGGCCCCTCTTCCCATCCAGCTCCCTGCCTGTGGCCTGGGAAAGCAGCAGAGGACGGCCCAAAGCTTTGGGAACCTGCACCCGTGTGGGAGACCCAGAAGAGGCTCTTGGCTTCGGATCGGCATAGCATCGACTGTTGCGCTCACTTGGGGAGTGAATCATTGGACGAAAGATCTTCCTCTCTGTCTCTCCTCTCTGTATATCCGCCTTTCCAATAAAAAATAAATAAATCTTTAAAAAAAAAAAACAGCTGTACATCCATACTCCACTATCAAGGTATATACTCTTTGCATCAAACATTTGAAAACTCCTAAATGAATACATTTATTGAATACATTAATTAATTACTAGTCCTTTGGTAATACAACGTGTCTTTCCTGGCAAAAACAGTATGATTTAGCTTTTTAAAGATATAATAATACCATTTGCCAGGCACACCTTTTATATGCACCATTTTTTGATGTTCATAATAACCCTGGAAAGTGTCACTTTTCATTCTTGTTTGACAAATGAAGAATGCAAGTTCAGAAAAGATAGGTGCATGCCCATGACCACGTATCCAGAAAACAACAGAATCAAGACTATCCAAACAAAAGATTGACTCTCAAACACATTTCTGTGTCACATACTAATTTTTAAATGATTGATGTAAGGCTAGCGTTTCTTTTAAGAGAGATTATGCCAAATATTACTTAGCTTCACAGCCATCTGTATGGGGTCAGTGTGTGATGTACTGAGTGAAGCCACCATCTAGGATGCTGGCATCGCCAAAAGCATCAGTTTTCTCTACCTCTATCTCTAATCCAGCTGCCTGCTAATATACCTGAAAAAAAGCAGTGGTAGGGCCTAGTATGATAGCCTAGTGGCTAAAGTCCTCACCTTGCATGTGCCGGGATCCCATATGGGCACCAGTTCTAATCCCGGCAGCTCCGCTTCCCATCCAGCTCCCTATTTGTGGCCTGGGAAAGCAGTGGAGGATGGCCCAGCACCTTGGGATCCTGCACCCATGAGGGAGGCTCGCCCGTGTGGGAGACCCGGAGGAAGTTCCTGGCTCCTGGCTTCAGATAAGCTCAGTTCTGGTGTTCTGGTCACTTTGGGAGTGAATCATTTGGATGGAGAATCTTCCTCTCTCTCTCTCTCCTCCTCTCTGTATGTCTGACTTTCCAATAGGGAAAAGGAATCAATCTTTAAAAAAAGTTTTTTTAAAGTCAGTGGAAGATGGCCCAAATACTTGGGCCCCTGTGACCAAAGTGACCAAAGTAGAGTTCTGGTTTCCTGACTTTGGCGTGGTGCATTCCGGGCTGTTGTAGCTATTTGGGTAATGAAACAGCAAATGGAAAAATCTCTGTCTTTCTCTGCCTGCCCTTTCTCTCTCTGTAACTATCCATTCAAAGAAATAAACCAAAGAGCCATCTCTGAGACAGATAAATGTAAGCATATCTTGCTATCCCTCCTAAAAGATAAACAAATTTGGTAATACTGTGAATTTGTACTTCCCCGGTCCTGGGTGATAGGCATTAGTCACGTGATTCCGTAAGTTGTGTTGTCCACAAATGGAATTGATCTAAAGGGAGGCTCACTCTTCACACCCAGATTTTGAACAGAAATGGTAGATTTATTCCCTAGGCTATATGTCTCTTGTGCTTATTATAACTCTACATATTATGACAATAAACCTGACAAGTTAGTAAAAGAAAATACTAAGATGTAGGTGTTCTTATTATAAGTGGCACTCAATGAGTTATATACTATATGTTGACATCATATGGACCTAAGCACTGTGCCTATATAGGCTTCATTCTTACAGTAACTCATAAAATCTTAGATTTTTAGAATCAGGTATTCAGGTGCTTGATGGCAGGGACTGTGTTGACTCATCTTTGCATTTCTACTGGTTGATGTAAGTATGGTTAGTCAATATAGTCAATAACTATTAATTGAAGGAACAATTAACTCTCTAAGTTGTTGAAGAGACTTGCAGCTATTTCTTTTTCTAAAATTTTTTTTTAGATTTCTTTGTTTTTATTTGAAAGACAGAGTTATAGACAGAATTCTTCCATGCACTGGTTTACCTCCCAAATGGCCACCGGCTGGAGCAGTGCCAATCCAACATCAGGAAGTTCTTCTGGGTCTCCTATGTGTGTCAGGTGCCCAAGGCTTTGGGTCGCCCTCTGCTACTTTCCGAGGCACACTGGCTTGCAGCTATTTATAAGCAGTCACAGCATAGCATTAATGTTTCTAGGACTTTGACTTTCTCAATATTATTGCATTTTTAGTAAAAACATATTAAAATTCAATACAAACCATTTCAGATTTTTTGTTCTTGTTCTTTTTTTTTTTTGAAAGTCAAAGTGATAGAGATGGAGAGACCTTTCATCTGCCAGTTCACTCCCCATATAGCTGCAACAGCCAGGCTGGGCCAGGCCAAAGCCAGGAGCTTCATCTGGGTCTGCCACTTGGGTGGCAGAAGCCCAAGCAGGAAGCTGGATTGTTAGTGGAACAGCCAGGACTCAGAACTGGCACCCATGAGGGATGCTGGTGTGGCAGCCGGTGGCTTAGCCACAGGGCCAGCCCGTTTATTTCTTTTTTAAAGTTTCATTTGGTTTCTTTTATTTGCTTATTGGTTTGTTTTAAAGGCAGAGTTACAAGGAGAGAGAGAGAGAGCTCTTTCATCCACGGGTATACCACCCAAATGGCCACCAACTGGAGCAGTGCCAGTCTAAAACCAGGAGCTTCTTCTGGGTCTCCCATGAGAGTGCAGAAATCCAAGTACCTGGGCCATCCTCTGCTGCTTCCCCAGGAGCATCAGCAAGGAGTTAGATCAAAAGTGGCCCAGCCAGGGCTCAAACTGGTGCCCATTTGGGATGCCAGTGTTGGAAACCATAAATCCAACTTTCACTGCAGTGAGAAGAAACAAAAAAAGTTTATAGAGAGTTATTGTTTAATTTACTGAATGAAAATCAGAAAGCATGGTGTGTATATGCTTGTGGCTGTGTTTGAGACACAGACATGGTGGGTTAGGAGAATGTCACTAGTCAAAATAAAGGAGATTTTGAAGCCTTTGCAAAATCAGCAACCCCTGAGCTGAGTTTTGAAAACCCATAGGGAGATAGAGTTTAGGTTGTGGGTGGTTGGGAAGGTGTTTCTGGTGAAATAGCCAATAAGAGAATCTGTAAGAAAGGCCTGGAGTGAAGAACTTGTCTTATTTTGAAAATTCAAATTGGGAGGAAGGAACATGAATAGGGATGAGATTGGAGAGAGGAATGATGATTGGCTCATTATGAGTTTTATTCTGGAAAAAACAGGCCAGCACTATGGCATAGCTGGCAACGATGCTGCCTGCAATGCCAACATCCCATTGACACTGGCTTGAAGCCCCCCTGTTTGACTTCAGGTCTAGCTCACTGCTAATGCATCTGAGAAAGCAGTAGAGGATGACCTTGGGCTCCTGCACCACATGGGATACCTGGGTGGAGTTCCTGGCCCCTGGCTTCAGATGGTCTCCGCTCAGTTCTGACCATTTGTGGCCATGCAGTAGGGGGTAAAACACCAACTGGAAGATCTTTGTCTCTCCTTCTCTGTAGTGCTGTCTCTGAGATAAAATAAATACCTCCCCCCTTTTAAAAATGAGGTAGAGATCATTAGAGTAGAGAGAGCTTAAATGGTTTGCTGTCATCCTTGTAAATGGGAGAGAAAGATCTAGAGCATAAGTAACAAACAGTCCTGTACTAGAATGACACCTTCTATAGTTCAGAGCCTGTATTTTCCAAGCTGTTTTACTTTCTTCTTAGAAATATACCAGACTTGGACTGTTCAAGGCAGCAACACTCAAATGTACATCCTAAATAGGGTGAGGGGGTGGGCCGGGCTGCAACGTTAACCAGCTCATACAAGGCCAAATGGAAGGCCAGACTATGCCTGATGCTGGCCTAAAACCCAATGGCATGTATGGGAACTGGGCCTGGGAGTGGGTCAAGTGGAGGAACTTGGAAAGCTCCCCTGGTGGGTCATAGTTCCCGCTGCTGAACACATGGTCTAGACCTGGGGGTCGGACAAGCTGGGCAAAGTAGCTCCAATGGCTTGGTAATGTGTGGGTTGATAATGC